TTGTCTGCAATTACTATTTCCACGCTTTTCAATTTCGTTTTTATTTTGTTGCAGGTAAGCCCAACAAAAGCATCAACGCAATATTCACTGGAATTCATATCATGGACAATTGATGCAGCAGAACGGTAAGGTTTGAAATTCATCATTACCACAAAAGACGCCTTATGCTGAGGATAATAATAAAATAATCGGCTATTTCGTTGTACCGCAACAAAGGGTGCTCATCTGAGAAATTGCAGATTGAAATTGGTTTATTTTGATGGTCAGTTTTATAACGGTTCTGAAAATCATCATCATATAGATATTTTATTCTAGTCGTGTTAGTTAGTCAGAAATGAATCGATGTTTATAATTTTATAGCAAAGTGCTGCGTACATTTGCAGGGAATAACGAAGAAGTCTGACTAATTTACACTATTACAAATAATTCATTCACTTACAGTCACCCTTCAATAATATCGTGAGTTAAATTGAATCCAACTCAGGCGTATCTGTATCCTTATTGGGTTTCCTTGTACTCTAACATATCCTCTTATCTCGGCCAACCCCATGATAATATTTTTATCTCTGGTCTCTATCTGTTTTGGAAACATTGGCCGAAAATTAATTCTCGCCATGAGCATAAATCGATAGAAACAGGAACGCCTTGGGTTAGTTATTTTTTCGACTAACCACGCGGAAGTTTTCGATATTTAGGAGATGGGTAGGAAGGAACTGAACATTGGCGTAGATTAAAATCGGACATGATCTTGTGTAATTTCAAAAAATTCAAAGTAAATTAACAAAGACAAGTAAGACACTCTTGCCACTGTGATTAGAGTATAGAATATCATCAAAGAAAAGTAAGGCATTTGCGGCCCTTCTTCGCAACTGGTCATTCTTCTCTGGCTTTTAAGCTGTAAGCATTTCTTCCGGACGTTTCCCAGACACGAACAGCTTGCATCTGCACAGACGCCTTTGAAGTTGCAAATCTCTCGAGCTTAAGCACGATTAGAAGAGCGCGATAAACGTTCCAGTTCTAGTCTAGAATATTTTTTGAAATTTGGGTGTAATGCAACTTATGAACTTTCGCTAGTTTCTATTTCCTTTATTATAATTATTTAATTCCCACACTTTTTGACAATTTATGAGCAGAAAATGAAGAGAAGCTTTCATGTCTAGTCAATTGACGTGTACTTTGATGTTCCTCTCTTTGCTTTCCTTACAAACATTTAAAATTCGGTTATAAAAATTACTGAAAAATTATTTCCTCACAATATCCACTAGTCAATAGTGGTAAGAGAATTCTGGGTATGCCACTGGTTGATAGAAAACATAGGGGATTGAGGTAAGGGAGTGTTGGCATTTAGGCTTTAATCATCTCCAGTGGATATTTTCCAGGTTTGTGCTTTTCCGGATAATGTTTGTGTTGAGTAACAAATAAAAGTTTGGCTGGAGAAACGCGATGAAGCTTATCTCTCACTTGAGGGATAGTAATGTGCACTGAATAAACGAATTTCCACCTGAATGGTTGAATGTCCGTCAAACTTTCATAAAGTTGCCACATATAGTAAGAATATGTTAAAGTAACAGTTGTCTAGAAGAATTCTGGAATTATCAAGATAAACAGAACCTACTGGAACTTTAAGAATGGGTTTGAAAGCTTTATAAATGTTGGTTTTGTTTAGATGTTTCTCAATTCTATATCCCTTTAATTATAATTATATTCATGACGGTAGAAAGTTCATCGATTAACAGTTCTAGCGTTCTTATCAGTACCTGAAATGGTCAGTACTATTTCAAACTTTTCTTGTTACATCTTACAGAAAACTTATTGTTGAGGTCGCCTAGTTCCTGTAGTACCTATAAAATTTCCGTTTTGGGTTTGTTTGGGAGTTTGTTTGTTTGTGTGTTTATTTGTTTATTGGTGTTTGCAAAATATTTGCTGCAAATTCACTTTAGGGATTCAATAGGAAATATTGCCTTCTTATATTGGTTAAGAAAGAGTAATGATGTCACCAAATGATAATCTATCGCATAGATACTGCAAAAAATTTAACTCTCTAGCAGTCAACTTTAGACTGTTGGATTTTGTCTCGATGTGTAAACTAATCTGCAAATAGTTCTGGAGGTGCCTGTGATTCACACATCTAAAGCCTGTTCTTTTCTACACCAATAAACTTCTAATTTGAATAATTGTCAAAAATTGAGTTATAGAATTGATGGCGCTAATCTTGGGGTTTTAAAAAATGTCCTTTTAACTCGTGTTTTAGCACTTTTTTGCGTTAATAATTTTTATAAAAACGCTCGCTTAGTGGGGTATAAGGAAAAATAAATTGAGCTTCTAATCAATCATAAATATGTTTCTACTTAAATAATTAACACCCTATAATCGGTCTATTAAGCGATTTTGCCATATATGATTACTCAGACACTTTTAAAAATTCGGCTTAAATTAGAAATTAAAAAGCATACTTTTATGTTTTATACATAAAGATTACAGGTGAAACGATGATATTTCCTACAAACTTTCTAGTTTTTTTCGCAGATTAATATTCAATTAATTGGGAATGTTGCAAATAATTAAACATTGCAAACAGTTGTATTAAAAACTAATTACTTTTTTCCAATATTTTTCTGCCTATAATTTTTTACAAAACAACCAATCGTTCCTTATTTCAAAGCTTTCGTATCTGCTAAAGTGTACGAAATTCTTGTATACTTGCATAAACTCAACCTGCATAACGTGATGTATAATTAGATATTTATTAGTAATAAACTGGCAAAGAATTCCGTTATTACCGCATGGAATAAAATTTGTCGCTTCTAGAATGTTTGCACGCGTTGTTATCTAAAATCATCTAAAAACCTGAAGTTTATTTGGTAGCCATGAATTTATTAAAAAACGACCAATTAAATTGTTTAATTAAGAAAATGTTTAAGCAAAGGTCAGAACATTTTGTGGTGAAGCTTCACTTCCACTAGGTTTTCTACGAAATTAAAATCATCACTTCTCTTCTTCTTCATGTTAAATGATACTTATTATGAATATGAGGATTTCACGCATTGCTTTTATCAGTTTTGGTTTTGGACCAAATCGGATTTATAATATTGCGCTGAAAAAGGTATACAACTAATAAAGGAAACTTCTAAATAAAGTACGAATAACGTGTAACATGAAGCATGTATATCAAATCACTAGAAGTTGCTTGGCAAATAAACATGTTACATTGAATAAAAAACAATAACAACAATAAACAAGTGCATTAAAAAAAGGGAACAGATATACGAGAACAAGGTTGAAAAACAGTTAGTCTAAAGCGCAAAGTAATGAAGAAAAGTTCGGTTTTGTAACTGTAACATCAAAGATATCAAGTCAGTTGGAGTCACAAATTAACTGATTAACTCTAAATCACAAACAGAAAAGCAATCAAAATATTTAAAATTGAGAAATCTGAAGAACAATTCCGGAAAAAAGTCTAGTTTTTGAAACATCAAAGATTGAAATGAAATTATTAATAAGCGGAAACTCTGACAGAAAAGTAAAATATAATCCATGTCTTCCTATAAAGCCAATCAAAAAGTATCTACTAGAAACTTATCTACCTTAAAATAGGAAAATGTTGAACGCACTAAATGCGAAACTGATTATGAAAAATATTGACTGAAAAACTGTCAGGTTAAGATACAAAGAAATCGCTCATAAATAATACTAAAGCGATCCCTTTATTAGAGAGTTATTGAACAGTCAATAAGGACACGCAGAAATAGCAGTAAACTTAGTGGTATTTTGACACATACGCCTGCGCAATTGAGTCTCAAAATAAGGCATCCCTTATTAATGATATTGTTCTGTGCTAATTGTGCAGCGATACTGTACAGCTATATTTCTACCTTAAAATGACAGTTGACAGTTTTAACGTTCTCTTGCAGGTTATTGCATTGTACGTACATAACCTAGTTTCCATTTAGACATGTTGTTGCATCGTAAGAGTTAACCGGAAATGCTCAAACAGCGGCCAAAATCCAATAAAAAGGTAAACTCTGTAAAGTTAGGTTAGGCCCTTTTAATATTGAACTAGACATCCCAATTTCGTTAAAGAAATAAAGCTAGTGCAGTATTAAAATAAGGCTTAACCTTATTACTGCGTGACAGTATTAATAACTTCCAATAAGTCTCTATTGCAGACGAGGGATTGCAATGTAAATGGCAATGTTATATTTAAGGAGTGATGTTATATTTAAGGGTTGTCAATGTCTTCTGGCAGAACATCTTTTCCACACTCAATCATCTCTATAGACAGTAAGGAAGTCATCCACGCTCTGGTGTGAAGTAGGACGCGAACATTTTACTTCTCTTGATTCTTCAAGCTAAATTTATCTTCTACAATCATTCTGCAGATATTTACCCATCATTTCCAAACGCACTGTATATGGTTATTTCGTGTTTTCTCTAGCAGCGATAATAGACAACATGTTGTCACTAAGAGACCATCCTGCAACTACTCACAATTATTTAGTAAAAATTATTAATAAGGACGGTTTGCACATTTGCAACACACTGTATTTTAATATTAATCGGGCCTGTGCGAACACACGCGTACTTACGATCGCCATCCGAACGTGAGTCACCCTTTCACCCCCGACGCCCGCCCGCCGCCCGATTTTGGGGGGCGTCAGACAGAGGGGTGTTTGTCCCTCATTGGCAAAGTATAATCACTTGTGTATCGCTAGTGTGGAATAAGGCGCGTTTTTGTATCGGATCCGCAACTAGATTAGTCAAAATCGTAAAAAAATCTAGGAGAAAGTGCGTAAGAAAGGTTTTACGCCAATGTCAACGAAACGACGCCTTGGGCAAGGTCACGACGTGCGTCTGTGCGGCGTCTTACGCCGGGAATCTTCGAATTTGTGCCAGTGACGTAGTCCATTTGGATAATAATTGTGTCTTCAAGTGATTTTTCCAGTGTATTTGTGGATATCGACTAGCTGCTCTAAAGAAAGTATGTTGGATTGCAAATTGTGAGTATGATTGGGCGCAACACAAAAAGTCAGTACAAAAACTTGGTCTTTTCATAAGTTTAGCAATATTTGTGTTCTTGCATTTCTGTTAAGAATCTGTTTTGAAATTTTTTCTCAGAATGTCTATTAATCTTTGCTTTGTAAGTGAATTCGTTGGTAGCAAGTTTTGTCATTATTACGGCTCGTATGGGACAACTTTTGCAACCTCAGAGCATGTGATTTTCTTTACTAGCCTGACATTCTACTAACACAGCCTAATTGACATCCTTCCATCTCATTTATTCCTTTTCAGATGCAACTCTATGCGATGATGCAAATTTCAGACGCAAGAAAATATTAACATTCGAAAAAGCAGCCCATTTTTTTTAACTATGCAGAGAGGAAAATAAATAAACATTTCCACATCTTAGTATGAAACGTTTTCTAAAAAATGTGCGGAATTGTTATTTGCTATCAGATAGCCGAAAATAGTTAAAATGTTTTTGTCCAAAGTATGTATGAATTATTTTATACGATTTATATAGACGATGGATCGGACAGGGATGTCCCCGCCCAGTCTGTGATTGATATTTCCAGTTCTAGTTTACAAATTAACCATTCACTGTTTTTCAATGCTAAATTGATTTGACATTGAGCACACGTTTTTAAATTAATTTCCTTAGCAAAAATTTCAGTTAAAAACTAATCAAATAATAATTAAGTACGTTTCCAACATAAAAATGAAGTTTTATAAATTGAGATAAATTACAAGTGCTGAGCTCAGAATAGAAATAGAAGACGATCAAAAGCATATAAAGATTTTTCAAACATGAGCATACAAGTGCTTTATTTAATTAATACTTCAAGCTCAATTACTTTACTTCATGCAATTTCCTGAAGCTGGAATATATGTTTAAGTTAATGTTGTATCTAAACACCACAATTATTCAATTAATAATCAATAAAATTGATCGTTATTATCAGTGCTGATATTGAAATCAAACGAGTTGTTTCTTCTGGTCAATCATTTCTTTGTAAGTCAATTAACGTCGAAGCTTATAGGCTGTTTTAAAACAATTTTCCTCTTTTAACAGTTCCCATTATTTTCACACACGTCCAATAAATCTCACCGTCGTAAATTTAACGACTATTTTTACTATTCTCTATTTTTAATCTTTCTCAGTTATTCTTTTTAACCGTCCAAGCATTAAAATAAGATATATACTTGATTTCCTTTTTATTGCTACCAGCTGAATAGTTTAAGGCCTCAGTTACGACTATGTGAATGACCCCGAAAAAAAACCTCAAAGACATTATTAGTGAATAGTTGTTTAACTATAAAAAACACAAGTTTTATAAGAATAACAGCATATAATTATAGGCAGTTGTATAGTTTACAGCCACTTAATTAACAAACATTTCTGTACATGGTATCTACTATTTCACTTGGCAAAGTTCGGCGCAATTATTTATAAACCAATGCAGATGAAGCCTTTCGAAATCAATGTTTATTAGTCAGAGAAGTAGTAAAGGCATTTGGCTGAGATTTCGGATGTGTTCATATAAGCAGAACTTAACAATATTTAAGATGAACTTCCATAAAAAATATGAAGCATTTTTTGAGCAAAGCTATGAATATACCAAATCCTCGTTGCCTTTCGTGAACAATCTACAAGAGAACTTGAACTCCAGTTTTAGTGTAAGACTAGTGTGGATGGGTTAATGAATAGGAACCTCCAAGAACTTTCCGTTTGATAATGAATTGCCGTAAGCACCAGTGAAGCGAAGCTATTGAAGTTTGAAAGATCGTCTAATAAACGGGGAAAATATGACATTAAAGAAACAGAACAAAAACGGATGTTAATTTATCGCTTAGATGAACTAAGACCAGAGCTTAACTGTCCTCTACATATTAACAATGCAATTTCAACGAACAAAAAATTGCTTTCAAGCGTAAAAGCTGCATCTCGAAACGAGCATTATTTAAATTTGATTGCGAATTCTTTGTGCATAATAAAAATAATTTCATGCCGATCATTTTGCATTTTAGCCGGCGTTTAAATGCCCACCACCTACCTCTCGATTCCATCTGAAACTAAATGGGAAGTTAAATATCGTCGGCGAACCCATACGAATTCCTGCGAATTGCAGTCATTAACATTTCTTTAAATGGAATTTTTAGTAGCTTAGGCGAACCAAAGGCACTTTAGCAGTTTCTTATCGACAATTAGGACACTCTTATCGTGGATTCGCCATATTATTGACGAGAAGATTCCAAGAGTAATTTAGTAATGGAGTAAAAGGAAATTGCGAAAATTTAGAACATTGCTTGACGATGTTTAATTTATTTACCGGATCATATACTTTGTTTTGCCTTGAAAATTTGTGCAGACTTTTTGTGGCAAAAGAGCGCTCATGCTACAAAAAGACCCAGCATAAAATCCTTGATGTTCTAGTCAAAAGTTGCCCTGCAGCTTTGCTTTTGGGTTTTCATGAAACAATAGAGAGCTGATGCGCTGCCAGGAGGAGCCAGATAAAAGCGCATTTCCAACTACGATGCTGTTTAATCAAAATGGAGAACAATGCAACGTCACGTGACCGAATAGAACAAAGCTCAACAAGAGGGATGTCACACAAAAGGTATGCAGGAAATTAAAAGCCCCTACAGATCAAATTTTAGCGATTCGAAAATTGAGTGTTGCAATCGTGGGATTTTAGCTCTTCTTTGTCGGATTCTCCATCAAAGATCCGAGTTGGAGACACCAAAGATTCTACCCCAATTTCCCCATTGCGTATGCCGGACTTACCTCTGCCCACACCTCCTCCAATGGCGAATATCATCGTAACCTCGCGAATTGGTTATAGGAGAATATTGGGGGGCAGGGCCAATGAGTATCGATCGCCTATTTTAGGCAGTAGGAGCCATAGTATGGACTTTGGAAGCCGGATCCCCAGTTTCTCTAGAACGCACGAGCCACTGGGGAGCGACTGGAGATCGGGCTATTCAAGAAACGATGATGGCAGTAGGCATAGTTGCTTTGAAGCGCCTGGTGGCAATAGAATGAGTAATGTGAAAAATCCGGAACTGAGGGAAAACAGGGCCAGTACTGTGGAGTTTATGTCTCCAATTTTAACACGAGCCTACTTGTATCATCGGGATAACTTGGAAGAAAGCCAAAGCAAGCAAGTGGCTTCAAAAAATCATCAAGGTGAGCTTCTTGCTGCAATCTATACATGTTAGATACTGAAACATGCAAATTTTCAGCTCTGTTATCCAACCAGTTGGGATTATCGCCTTTGCCCAGGCATAGAAATTTCGAGAATCTTTCCAAACGCTTGGAGGACTTTAGCGAATATCCCATATACCCTGAAATGTACACTCTAAGAGAACAGAGCAAATCCACTCAGGAGCAAAAAAGCAAATATTTATCGCGCGATTCAGTTCTCTCAAACGAATTGGAGGAAGTGCGCACATTAAATCAAGAACTTCAGAAGAAGTATGTTGGAAACACTGAAGATAAGATCAGCAGGATTTTGGGAGGCAGCAACTGTGAAACCAGCCCAGACTATTACAGTGTTTTTTTCAACGAACATTATATCAGCGATATTGATGAAAATGAGGAAATCAAGGAGTTTGTATGCGGCTACAAGGCACCGGAAAGAAGGTTGGTAGAGTATAGTTTTTGATGGCGGTTTAAAGTTGTTTTTTAGGTACTCCGATCAGCCGGAACGGACCATTCAGAAGAGCAAATCTTCCAGTTTTTGCACCTACCAATCCAGCACCCTCCCATTGCCACCGAAAGAAACCCGAGATAAAAAGTGTTCCAAGCAAAGCAATACGGCCTCAAAAGCACCAAAGCGCTGCCAGAAGCGCAACCTGGGGCTTCCTCGCACCAGCAGCGAAGATTTCACCAAAAGCTCGAAACGGACTCAACCAGTAAAAACAATTTTGAAAAACAGCAAGTTCAGTAGCAGCAGTGATCGAATAGCGATGGATGTGCGCGGTTTAACTGGATCAAGCGAAACGTTGCCCCTTTCCAATCTCTACTCTTATCACAGTGATAGTGCGTCTTCCATGAAATCTAGTGATTATTATTCGTTTGTTCCGGCCATGCCTTCTTGCGTTAAAAGAGTGGAGTTTAGCGGCGATTCAACAGGGAAAGTGATAAAGAGCCCTCAACGAACTGTGGTTAAATTAGCTAAAATCAGGTGAGTTGATTGTTTTATATTAATTTTTTTATTAAAATCTATTGATTGTTTTATTGGTTGTTAGATATCAAGGGATTTGATTTGACTCGAAGAATGAAAAAATTAGAAATGGAAGTCTTGTGTTTTTCTGTTTGTATTTATGTCAAAGCATTTGAAACTAAATTCTTTTGAAATGCTTTTTCAATTTTTTCACTTTGTTCGTATAAATCTACTGACGCTTTTCAAAATAGCAACTGATTTTTTGTGCTTTTAATCTCTCGGTTTTGCATCTTGGGGCTTCTACTCCTTCGTATCTACACCTTTCTTTCTGACGTTTCGCAAGCGCTAGTGGCTTGCATCCTCAGAGGAGTTTCCCTCCATAGCTTTCACTGTACTAAGGATGTGCGTGACTTCAGTCCAGTGTAGGCTTTCGAGTGCAACACCTCTGAGGATGCCAGCCACTCGTGTTCGCAAAACGTCTAGAAGGGGTCTTTGGACAAGGAAATCCAGAAGTTTCAAGAATTAAGGAACGCTTCTTTTTTCTGTTAAGTTATAAGTCAGCAACACCGAATTTAAAGCATTTATAAACTAGAAATACCACTTATTTAGTTAGTGTTGTTAGTTGAACGCCTGTACTAGAAAAACTGTTACATTAAGTCGGAAAAAATTTATGTAATTTTAGTAACAACTGACTATTTATTTTACAAGCCTGATATACACATTGTATGTTGATTGTGTGTCGGTTTGTTCTTCGAACTTATGAAATTATTATGCATCAATATTTGTTGGAAACTATTCTTCGCAATCGTTATAATCCATTAGTTTTGTCACTTTCTCACAAATTTAAATTGAAACTGCCTGCATTCACCACTCATTTTTATGTGGGATAGAAAGGCTTTAATTAGTCTTAGTATAGTCTCTTATTGCAATATAATTTTTTTATGAAAGCGAACGGTACTTATTGCTGATGGTTTATTAGAGACACATATTTTTAGTGTTGATTTTTGTGAAAAACTACCTGAATCTTAAGTTCCTCATAACTTTTATATTATTTCGAAGACTATTCTCAAAATAATAGGTTTTTCTCTGACTAATAGCTTAATTGAATTATCAAATCAATTACATAAATATGCAAATGGTCGAGATTTATTTTGCCAGGAAAAAATACTTGCATCCATTTTTTGTGATAACGTTAAGATTCACTAAACTCTTTGTTTCAAAAGTAATAACTTTGTCTGATCATTGACTTAATTGAACCATCAACTCAAATAGTCGCACATAAAATGTATGTGCAGACTTTATTTTTACTCCAGGCTGATTCGTTTTGTGTCTTTTATAATAAAATACATTTTAGGCAGGGAAACGTTGACACGTTAACAGGATGACTAATTAAGGCAATTTATTTTGGCAACAGAGAGGTGCGACAGGGGCGCATAGTCATTCAAAAGTTTAATGGCGTCAGGTGTGGGGTTAAATTAAAACTTCCTCGGATTTTGTTTATATAAATCGCTTGTCTGCAGGCGGGTTCAGTTGGTTAACTTTCAGCTATGGAATCGTATGAACAGATCCGTGATTTATGAACACGCAGCTTTGATTTCCCTTTGCCAGGGATGAGAGTTATGCTGATTTGAAGCGGTCGTTCGTCCACTTCAATTTAACGCCTAAATATGAATATTAAACAAAATGAGTCAAATTTCAAATTTGCAATAATCTCCAATTAACATCCACATATTCAAAGGTTCAATTTCGCTTCCAAATCCTAATCAAAATCCTACTTCAGGGTAACAAATGTTTAACTTGTTGGGTGGGGCTTAGTTACTTATCGTATGATTTTACCAGATCATACCAATATTCTTCCATAACAGGTTATTGACTTATTTGTACAGAAAGTGGATTCAGTTTTGAAATCAGGTTGTTCTTACCTTATTCGATTACCAAGCCAAAAAATATCTTGCGCTGCTGTCAAATTGATCTTTGATGAATGCAATCTGATACGTGCAGGGAATTCGACGAAATACGATGAAATATGTATGGCCAAAGCTCCAAGAGAGGGAATTTCCGATATTATAAGCCTGTGTCGTGATGGGAATAGTGTTAAGGTTTAATAGAGTTGTTGTTTCATATTTAAAGCTCTTCAGAACGTTAAGGCTTTATCTATGCTTTAGATTGTTGTCTAAACAGAATAAGCAATTTGCTTGCAGTTTTGTCTGTGAATAGTGCATCAATTGCTTTACAAAGTTTCAAATTTATACTCAGTGTGAACGGGAATAGTAACTGAGAAATGTTCGAACCAAAAGTGTTCATATTGGCAGCCTGAGGTTGAATATTTTTAGGTACAACTGATTCTTCACGTAGTCGACTTTCAAGTGTTTAAATCGGACTCATTTCAAGTACAAATACGGTGCCACTGAAGTCAATTAAAAAGCGTAGATTAAATTGGAAGCTTTTCTGCCTAATTCCGAACGAACAAGATACCAAAACCAGTAACCGCGCCAGACCTACCGCTGAGAACAAACTTCTGGTAACATAATACTAGATAGCATTTTCCGAAAACTGTTTATTAGTAGTGATAGGTTTTTGTCATATCCTGTAACAATAACTCTTCCAACATTAGCTTCTTAATTGCTGCGTTATTTATTCTGGTGGAAAGGGTTCTGTTTAATTTCGGGAGATCTATTTTTGTACGCTAATGTGATATTTGATATCCGTAAATTCGATTTTTTCAACCGCATTTGCGCAAGATGGTAAACGTTAAACTAGACTTCGGAAAAATAAATCAATTTATTAAGAACGTTAGTGTCGCTGCACTTAAAACGGTTTGCTTTTCAAATAGAACTTCGAAATAAAATCGCAAAATATTTAGTAAGAGAGTTAGAAAAACACAAAACAACAGTTATTAATAATAACTACCGCTGAGAATAAACTTCTGGTAACATAATACTAGATAACATTTTCCGAAAACTGTGTATTAGTAGTGATAGGTTTTTGTCATATCCTGTAACACTAACTCTTTCAACATTAGCTTCTTAATTGCGGCTGCGTTATTTATTTTGATGGAAAGGGTTCTGTTCAATTTCGGGAGATCTATTTTTGTACGCTAATGTGATATTTGATATCCGTAAATTCGATTTTTCAACCGCATTTGCGCAAGATGGTAAATGTTAAAATAGACTTTGGAAAAATAAATCAATTTACTAAAAACGTTAGTGCCGCTGCACTAAAAACGGTTTTCTTTTCAAATAGAACTTCGAAATAACATCGCAAAATATTTAGTGAGAGAGTTACACAAAGCAACAGTTAATAATAATAATAATTTCCAATGCTCCATTAATACATTTAGCTGTGCTGCTTACTCTACCAGTATCAAGCAAACTGCAGCACTAAGCAACGATTATCAACAATGCATAAAATAAATTATTAAAATGAATAAACTACAGACAGGCGTTTTTATCTGAACCGAAACTATCTTATTTTAAGTTTCTTAACAAACCCCAATAGTTCAAACACTTATGGCAACAAATCGATAATAACAGTAGAAATACACATTTGATTTTAATGATTTTGTTTAATACTACATGGTTAGATTATTAAATGTAATAGAAGCTCTCTTGAACAGCTTTCGAGAGCTGCTAGATGGTCACCAATTAAATTTTACTGTTTAAATTACAAACGGTACTTCTTTGAGGAGAGAGGAATCTGTTCGGTCGAAACAAACATAAAATTTCCATTTTTATCAGTGGTTATTTATGGACGATATCATACACGCCTCAAAGCACGTTATGCAAAACGCCTCGGCAATTTTTATCCAGATTCCCATATTTCGGCATTGTCAAGAAATGCGGAAAGATTTCAAAAGTAGTCCTCGAGGGACTGCGTGAAGCAGCCTGCAATTTATTGACTCGACTCACTGAAATTCCATGTTTTATTTAATATTAATTGTGTAATTGCGAATGCACGACGCAAATATTAGTGTGTAAAATTGCTTGTTTGCTTATCTTATCTGTTTCATATGCGTCAAATCGATCATTGTCACCTTTTTAATATCCATAGGCATTTCGCATTCATTTCCACTAGTTTTTTTGTACAACCTACGATTTATTAACTCGTGCAACTCTTCGACATTGTATTTAAATTTGTTCAAACGAAACCTGCTCGGTTAGAAAGCAGCTTTTGCAGTTTGTTGGTTTAATAGCGACTTAAGCAGTTAAGGGGTTACGATATTATGATAATATATTTAATATGCAAGTTTGGCGCTAAACTTTGGCTATCTTAAATCATGCATTGTATGTCAGTCAATGTATGATTCTCAAGTTTCGCTTTCTGGGTCAAAACTACTCGAATTTCGTCAGTCATATTGTTATGATTGAGTCGTGAATTTTCAATTCTCTATCCAACGATGCCAAAACGAATTCTGTGGCTCTAATGGGGCTTGAGAAATTTCGAAAAAAGCAGCGTCATGTTTGAGTCGATTTTGCAGCTAAAAAACACGCTAATCTAAAACTTCTTGAAATCAAGACTTTTATGAGAAAACTGCCAACATTTCTTTATCGATGGTTGACTTTCTAAAAAGGCCATTTAGTTCTCTCTGGAATGATGTAAAAATGAGCGTTCGTGCCCAGTTTGCTTCTGAGAAATGAGTAAAAACGGGACGGAAAACATGAAAATTTGGCATAATCTTGCACCTAAGTGTCTCATATCCAAATTTCGCTTTGCGGTTCAAAACTAATCGAAGTTGCTCACTCACGTTGCTATGGCTTGATTGAGTTTTCAATTCTCTATCCAACGATGCCAAAAGGAATTATGTGGCTCAAATTGTTCTTGAGAAACTTCGAAAAAAATAGCGTCATGTGTGAGTCGATTTTGCAGCTAAAAAAACACGCTAATCTAAAACTTCCTGAAATCGAGACTTTTTTGAGAAAACTGCCAGCATTTCCTCATCGATGGTTCACTTTCTAAAAAGGTCATTTAGTTCTCACTGGAATGATGTAAAAATGAGCGTTCTTGCTCATTTTGCCTCCGAGAAATGAGCAAAAAAGGGGCGGAAAGCATGAAATTTTGGCATAATCTTGCACCTAAGTGTCTGATATTAAAATTTCCCTTT